TCAGTACTCGATTGCTCAAAGCTGGCCACGAGACCACTGCTGATTCGGGGAGCGGGGAGTTGGATCTCATCTTTTTTTTTTTTTTTTTTAACATTTATTTATTTTTGAGACAGAGAGAGACAGAGCATGAACGGGGGAGGGTCAGAGAGAGGGAGACACAGAGTCTGAAACAGGCTCCAGGCTCTGAGCTGTCAGCACAGAGCCCGACGCGGGGCTCGAACTCACGGACCATGAGATCATGACCTGAGCCGAAGCTGGCCGCTCAACCGACTGAGCCACCCAGGTGCCCCTTGGATCTCATCTTTTAATGGGAAGAGTGGCAAAGAACTGAAGCCCATCTGAAATCCATCACAGTCTTCTTTTGCACATCATTATTTCGTGAGATTCATTCATGTTGTCGTCCCATGGTCTGATGCCATCATAATTTGCTATCGATTCTCCTCTTGGTGGACATTTGGTTGCTTGTGATTCGGGGCTATTATAAAGAATGCGTAATGAAAAGACTTGTATACATCTTCTGGTGAATCTATGCACGAAATTCTCTTGGTATATAAGAGTGGAATTGCTGAGTCTTTTATTTTTCTTAATTTTCTTAATGTTTATTTATTTTTGAGAAAGAAAGAGACAGAGGGCAAGCAGGGGAGGGGCAGAGAGAGAGGGAGACCCAGAATCCAAAGTGGGCTCCAGGTCCTGAGCTGTCAGCACGGAGCCCGACGCAGAGCTCAAACTCAAGAACCGTGAGATCATGACCTGAGCTGAAGTCGGACGCTTCATGGACTGAGTCGCCCACGTGCCCCTGGAATTGCTGGGTCTTAGCATATATTTAGCATTGCTTCCAACCAATTTTCCAAAGTATTGCTGCCAATTTATACTCCCATCAGCAATGTAGAAGAGGCCTATTTATCCAGGTTTTTGCAAAATCTCGAGACTGTCTAACTTTAGCCAGTTGTAGTAGCTCGCTGTGGTTCTCATTTGCATTTTTCTAAGGAGTCATGATGTTGAGCACCTTTTTGTTTATTTACTGATCTCTTAACTATCCTGAAATTGTCGTGAAAGTCTTTGACCTATTTTTTAATTGGGTTGTCTACTTACTTTTTCTGATTTGTAGGAATTTACTTGTTGTAGGTGTCTTTTGTTGAATTCATTCATTGAGAACACGTTTTCTCAGTCTTTGGTTTGCTTCAACAATGTCTTTCGATGAACTGAAGTTCCTAATTTTAATCAAGTCCAATTTAACAATCTTTTCTTTCACAGATAGTGCTTTTAGGATTGTGCTCTTTGGGAAATCTATCTCAAGTCAGAAAGATGTCTTCTGGGTATTTTTCCTAGAAGCTCTATGGCTTTAATCATTACACGTGGGGCTATGATACACTTCAAATTATTTTTTTGTATGTGGCGTGATGTAGGGGTATTTTTTTTTATACGAAAGTTCAACTGATCATAGTTTTTATTGAAAAACTGCTTTCCCACTGAATTTTAGTAGCACCTTTGTTATAAATCAGGTTATCTTACTTTTTGGGGGGGAGGGTCAGTTTCTGGACTTTCTGTTCTCTTCCATTGATCTTTTGGTCTATTCTTTTTTTTATTTTATTTTTATTTTTTTTAATGTTTATTCATTTTTGAGAGAGAGAGAGAGAGAGGGAGACACAGAATCCGAAGCAGGCTCCAGGTTCTGAGCTGTCAGCAGAAGCCCGACACGGGGCCCAAACCCACGAACCGTGAGATCATGACCCGAGCCGAAGTCGGCCACTCAACTGACTGAGCCACCCAGGCGCCCCTCTTTTGGTCTATTCTTGCACTACTGTTTGACTTATGTATTTTCTAACTTAAACCAACTTTACATTCCTAGAATAAACTCCACTTGGTTTTGATTTATTAAACTATGTATATATATTGCTCAATATAACAAAGGACTTGCATTCAATTTCCTGGTGTTTTGTTTGGAATTTTTTCATCTATGTTACTGAGAGAGAATGGACTTCAATTTTTACTTTTCTTTTAATATCTTGCCGTGTTTTGATGTCAGAGTTATGCTAGCCTCATAAGATGTGGTTTTCCCATTATTTGGAAGAGTCTGTGTGAGATGGGTGCTACTTTCTTTTTTTTTAAACTTTGTTTATTTTGAGAGAGAGAGAGAGAGAAAGATAGCGCAAGGGTACACAGGGGAGGGACAGATGGGGAGAGAGAGAATCCCAAGCATGCTCTGCTCTGTCAGCACAGGGCCTCACACAGGACTCAAACTCAGGATCATGACCTGAGCTGAAATCAAGAGTCAGACACTTAACCGACTGAGCCTCCCAGGCGTCCCTACTATTTCTTTCTTGAACATTTGGTAGAAATTTACTACCTTTAACTCATTTGAGATTGGGGTTTTCTGTGTGAGGTTTTTTATTTATACAGTGTACCTATTTCCTGAATAAATATAGACTTGTTCAGATTTCCTATTTCTTCTACAGACATTTTGGTAACTTGTATTTTTCTAGGAATTTGTCCATCTCATCAAAATTGCAAATTTATTAGCCTAGAGTTATTGGCAGAATTGAGCAGCGGTTAGTGTCGGTTCCACCAGCTGTCACTTACGTGGAATGTCACATATAGCAGCTGCCAGTGCATAATAGCACAGCTGGGGTCCTTGCGGAAATTTAGGTCCACCTTTACCAGGTGGGCTAAATGTATATCTTTCTGATTTACACATTCTTTCTTTAGATATGTTAATACCTTCCATCAAGATGTTGAATCAAATCTTGGCCCAGAGACTCCCTGGATGCTTTAAAGGTCTATTATCTCAATTCTATTTCCCTGTTTCCTCTTCTTGGGGTTATCTCATTGTTGCCCCACAACATTATCTGTATGTAGCTCAACGTTTTTTCCAGAAATACACCCACATTCACGCTCACCTGCAGCATAAGGCAGAGTCCATTCAAATTATCTGTGCCAATCTGACAGGCAAATAGGGCACCTGAGCCAGAGTTTTAAGAACTGCATACTAAAGCTTCTCTGTTCGAACACTCCTTTCATTCTTACAGTCTATGAAAACATCTTCCAAAGGGCTGGCTTTGCTCAAAACAATTTTCTGGTAACGAATGGCTGGAAAAATCTGTGACTCATTTCTGTGCAACCACACGCCCAAAGTCTCCAATCAAGATATGTCATCTGTTTAAACTACTTTGCGTATACATGAAAATCTTACAAAATCATTCATCCATTCAACAAATATTTATTGATCACATTCTATGAGCTGAGTACTGTTCTAGGCCCTGGATACACGGCAATAACAAAAAGACAAAGATTCCTGATCTCATATTTAGTTCAATACATTAACTATTTAGTTGAGCATTCGGTGCTGCCCTCTTGTTCTAACAGTTCAACACTTGAAATCAGGGCTGATCTAGAAAATAAGAGGCTTATGATCTAGCTGTTCATACGACGACCCTTAATGCTCTAACGATAGGTACGATTTTTCAGAAAGAGTCTGAAGCTGCACAGAGCCAAGCCTGGCAAATGCCACGGGTGACACAACCGGACAGAACATTTGTGCGGTGCCATGAAAAAATGACGAGATGGGCTGCGCCACTGGCCTGGGAGTCTCTTGAAGGCAAGGAGTCTGTCTTGTTTTTCTCTTACTTCCCAATTGCTGGCCCAGTGCCCGGCAGCTAGTGGGTGTTTAACAACTTTGTGAAATAAGTGAACTGACAGGGAAGTAAGGAGCGAGTGAATAAAGAGCCACCTGCTTGGTGATCTCATCTGGTCTCATGACTTTAAATACCATCTAGACAGAGAGCACTGCCGAGTGTATGTCTCCAGTCCAGGAGTAGCCTGTGAGTGCTACAAACTACCTTCTCATCTTCCCTGGATGTCTTACCGGCATCTCTAACTCGATAGGTCCCCAATCAAACTCCGGGCTCCTTTCTACCCCACTCCCAAACTGTTCCACCCACAGTCTGCCCCTACTCAGTCAATGATCACTTCACCCTTCTAGTTGCAGGTCAAAAGTCTTGAAGTCACCCTTGACTTTTTTCTTTCTGTTACCGCCCACTTCCTGACCTTCAAGATATCCTATGTCTACCTTCAAAATCTGTATTTCCAGAATTTTAGCACTTCTCACTGTCTCCACTGCTTTTACCTGGTCCAAGCTACCCTCCTCTCTTGTCTGGATTAAGACTCTCCTGACTTGCCTCTCAACTTCTACCTTTGCCCCCATCGGTGTCTTCTCCCCGGAAGGCTCAGACTGATCTGTCAAACATTAAGTCAGATCGCGTAACTCCTCCAACAGCTTCCAAGTAAAATGCTTGCTTAATGCTAATACTTAGTAGGGGTGCTCGGGTGGCTCCGTTGGTTAAGCCTCCGACTTCAGCTCAGGTCAGGCTCTCAGGATTCGTGAGTTCGAGCCCCGCGTGGGGCTCTGTGCTGAGCCCTCAGAGCCTGGAGCCTGCTTGGGATTCTGTGTCTCCGTCTCTGCCCCTCCCCTGCTTGCGCTCTGTCTCGGTCTCAAAAATAACCATTAAAAAAATATACAGACTAACACTTAGTATCGAACTCTTACAGAGGAGGAAACTGAGGCACAGAAAACGGTGATTGAATCCGGGTCTACCGCGAAAACGTGTTCTTCCCTCCAGAACCCCAGGCCTCTCCCGTGCAAAGCCAGAGCGGAGTGGAGACCCGGGAGCGCTCCGAGTCCACGCTGGGGACCGTCGGCCGCGCCACCGCCTCCCTCGCCGCGCGCAGCGGGAAGACGGTCCTGCAGCGAGCGGAGCGGGACTGAATCGGCTCGGTGTGAGGCACCGCCCCGTTTCTTCCCGGTCGGCTCGGGTTACGACGACTAGGAGAGGAATGCAGTCTGGGAGGGGGCCGCGGGGCCGGCGGGGCTTCCCTCCCGGAGCCGGCGGGGACCTCCCCGCAGCCCCAGGCGCCCGGAATGCAAAGCCGCGGTCTCGGTTTCCGCCCGGCGGGCTCCGCCCGGCGCTCCCGGAAGCTGCGCTCGCTGCCCGGGTAACGGGCCCCGCGGCGCCGCGATGGACCTGGAGGAGGCGGTGAGGGAGCCGGGCGCCCTGGGGGCGCGACGGCGGGGCGGGAGGGGAGGGAGGCCGAGGGAAGCGGCTGGAGGACGCCGACCGGCCGTGGGGGCGGCCGCTGGCGGGAGGAGGGCGGGCGGAAGGCTGCGGGGCGGGGCAAGGGATGGGGCTGGCGGGCCCGGGGTGCGGCTGGCGTTTCTGGCCCCGTGAGGTCGCGGCTGAAGGGAGGGCGGGGCGTTAGTCCGTAGGGGTGTGTTTCCGGGGGAGGCCGAAGCTGTGGGGCTTGTGGCGGTGGCCACCCACGTGGCGCGTCCCCTGTCGGCGGGGCCACCCACGGGTTCTCCTTGCTGGCGGGGTGGGCGTGGGAAGGGTCGGGGTTGGCACCCGCCGGCTCCTCCGTAACCCCCGCCTGTGTCTCTGGGAATCCTCGCCGCCGGCTGGGTGAGGGATTCCAAATTCGGGTTCGGGCCGCGCCGAGGTGATGCCGCTTTTCAGTACGGGGTCATTGCAAACTTTACCGACTTGTTGAAATGATTTAGGCGTTCATTTCTAACACGCTACATGAAATGCTGCACCCTTTGGCCCTATTGAAGGAGCATTCGGTAGCTAGATCAACGACAAGGTCAAAGACCTAAACGCTGGGGATCAGGAATTTAGTGCCAGTGTATGTATGGACGGAAGCACCATGTGGTAGAAGGGCTTAGTCGTTATAGATGCTCAATAAATGGTTATTGAATGATGGATGGTTAACGTCTGTAAATGCCGGGTGAATGAAATTGATCATTAACTCACCATTATAATTGATCATTATAACTCACCACTAACCTGTATTTGCCATGAGTAGGGATCCTGTTTTGCTCACCACTGAATCCCCAGCACCTAGTTAAATGCCTAGGACATGCATGGGTAATACTCCTTATATTGCTGAATGAATAAATCGAAACTTGAAACAACCCCAATAAAAATCTGGTTCTCTTGTCATCTGGTTTTTAGTGTCACGGAGGAGTTGCAAATGGCCTGCTATTTCTTCTTATTCTTTTTTTTTTTTTACATTTATTTATTTTTGAGAGACAGAGTGAGACTTTGCGCGAGTGGGGGAGGGGCAGAGGGAGAGAAGGAGACAGAATCAGGAGCAGGCTCCAGGCTCTGAGCTGTCAGCACAGAGCCCCACGGGCTTGAACTCATGAGCCCTGAGATCATGACCTGAGCTGAAGTGGCACGCTCAACCAACTGAGCCACCCAGGGGCCCCTATTTCTATTTTTAAAGTCTTTTCTTAAATCTTGTCTCTTTTTTCCTCGAAGCACTTTCAAGGAGTTTTATTTACTCATCTTTTTTAACATTTTACCCCATCACCTTTTCTTCTTTTTCTCCCCTCCCCCACTGCATATTTTAGAAACTTTTAAAAATAATTTAATTCCATTTCAAACTGTCCAAAAGACTGAGCGGCTTTTCTTCTTATAGATAATCTCTCTGATATATTTTTTTATTGTCTATGATTTTTTTAATCTATAGGGTAAAATCCAGGGAACCTTCTTTGTAGAAATGCAATGTGGTGAATATGATTTGATAGTAACCCCTTTTCTATCTGCTCCTATAGAAAGAATTCAAAGAAAGATGCACTCAGTGTGCTGCTGTCTCTTGGGGTCTTACTGATGAAGGCAAATATTACTGCACTTCTTGCCACAACGTTACAGAAGTAAGTAACAGACATCATTTATGCATTTGCCAATGTTTTGAAAATTGCAGTTTTAGCCTGTTATGTGGCATAGTGCCCAAGTAATTGATCGATTTTTGTCACTCCTGCCGTGGGCAGATTCCAAGAATGTTAATCTTCACTGCTTCTACATGAGTTAAGGAACGTGTAAATCACATTTAGGATGGGTTTTTGAAATGATGTCGGGCCGCATTCACAAGTGATGTCATGACTCCGACTGTGTTGTGTAAGGGAAAATAATTAAAATTGTACTTAGAAGGTGATGCATTTCTTCTTAATACTTCTGTAAGAGTGTTTAATGTGTTCTAGCTTTGAGGTTTGGAAGATGGAATGTTAGATTGAGGACTGTTGGGAATATTGAATATGCTTCATTCTCATTTTACCTCTGTTTAATCCCTTACAGATTTGCAAAGTGTTTTCTTATCCACTATTTCATTTTCTCCTAATATTCATTTTCACCTGTGAGATATACTATTATGGTCCCTGATGGGGCAAGTGGGGCTCACGAGCTGAGTGAGTGTGCCCAAGTCGCACAAGTCTAAAGTGTTGAGCCCGGACGTGAACCTGAGTCTTCTGACTACAGTGTTCCTTTTACCCCATCGCACCTGCCTCTTACCCTAGAGACTGTCATACTGTCCTGTGTAACGTTGGTCAGTGAGGCCTCTTCACACTGTGAGTGCAACGTCCTGTTCTAGTTACCACACATTCGGGCCACTGTAACCAAAATGATCAAAGGTGTGGGCAGTCTGCTCCTGGACAGGCCAAATATGCCAGGACTCCTCTCTGGAAGAGGATATGCTCCAAGTCCACAGGGCTGGGGAGGAGCAAATGTTACCTTCACCATAGACTTAAGAAAGGCAGATTTAAAACCGAGAAAAGTAACTGTGTAGACTTCTGCTTTGGGCCAAGATGGAGTAACAGGGACTGGATTTATCTTCCTACCTTAAACAGCTAAAAACTTGGGCAAAATATGTAAAGCAACTAAAAAAAACTTTTTCCCTTGAGGAAAGTGGCTAATTTACCTTGTAGCTCACCCAAGAGCTTTTCTTTTTCCTTTTTCTTTTTTTTAAGTTTATGTTTTTATTTTGAGAGAGAGAGAGAGAGAGCAAGCACGGGAGGAGCAGAGAGAGAGGAAGAGAGAGAATCCCAAGTAGGCTCCTCACTGTCCGCGCAGAGCCCGATGCAGGGCTCGTACCCACCGACCGTGAGATCATGACCTGAGCTGAAACCAAGAGTCGGACGCTTAACCAACTGAACCACCCAGGCGCCCCCGCAAGAGCTTTTCTTGAAGCAGTCATTGTTTTCCAGTATGCAGCTGAAGTTCTTATGCCTGCTTCCCATTTAAGTCACAGGGAACAGCTAAAAAAATGCCAGCTCAGTGAAATTTGGGGAGGGGGTGGATATGTGTTACTACCTTGGTGGTGGCGATGGTTTTGTGAGGATGTTTATACGTGTATCTCTACGTGTAGTTACACATGCATATACGGATGTACACACATCAACTCATTCACTTTAAATAGATGCGGTGTGATACTCTTTGCTCGGGTGCGTGGAAGGCACTAGCAGTGTTACTCACCGTTGTTTCTGCAGTGGCCGTGCAAATGTCAACACGGCGAAGGAAGATTGCGTCTAATTGGACAGTTCGTCATTGGCAGATGAAGTCATCGTGCTATTTTCGTAGAAATTAAACTCCATTAACTAATTGCGTCTTCTATTTCTGTCTTTAATAATGTTCCTATTTGATTCTGTCTGATAAAACCTACTGTAGTTACTTTAACTTGAAAGATCCTAATACCACTACACCATCTAGTTCCACATTTGAAAGACAACCTGTGTGGAGTAACTTGTCAAGAATGTAGCATTCTTTTTTTTTTTTTTTTAAATGTTTATTTGAGAGAGAGAGACAGAGCATGAGCGGGGGAGGGGCAGGGAGAGAGGGAGACACAGAATCCGAAGCGGGCTCCAGGCTCGGAGCTGTCAGCACGGAGCCCAATGCAGGGCTCGGCTCATACGCAGGAACCCGTGAGATCATAACCTGAGCTTAAGTCAGACGCTTGCCCTTAACAGACCGAGCGACCCAGGCGCTCCTCCCTGCCTCCTTCTTATAAGTTGTACCTGTCTTTGTAGGATAACTGCTTTGGTGTGTGTTCTGATGGATCTTTGTTTTCAGTGTGGCCAACCCAGTCCACTAATATTGCTTTGAATGTGGTTTCTCTGGCTACAGGAAATACATTCCCCAAATCCTATCGGTAAAGGTGTTTCTTTTACTCTTAGTGAAGGCTGCCGATAAACTTCATTCCAATCTCTAAGTTTAGAGACATATATAAATGTTGCCTTTTGGTTAAAAATCTTCACCTTTTTCCCATCATTAAGACTTAATGCTTTTATGTTTTGGTTGTGAGAAAGGCAGAATCTTAGGTACCAGCCCTCGAGAGCACTTGGAGTTAATTGGTTAAAAATCTTCACCTTTCTCCCATCATTAAGACTTAATGCTTTTATGTTTTGGTTGTGAGAAAGGCAGAATCTTAGGTACCAGCCCTTGAGAGCACTTGGAGTTGAAGACTATGGGATGAGTTACACTCACCATTTATGCTACTCACTATTTATCACGCTAAAATTCTGTAGGTTTGAGTAAAAATAAAAAGTAGTACTTTTATGGTTTCAGAAATGAAAGCTGTATTATTCAAATACGTAGAAGAGCAGGATGAAACAAATCTGTATGCAGTGTAGGCATTGCTGGTTACAACAAATACAGCCCTCTTCATTCCAGAGCGTGTTTGGATGGAGGAGAAAAGGAAGTTTGACTTTAGGTTTCATTTGAAAAAATTAGAAAGTGATTTAAAATAAAAGTTCATTAATTTGACAGACTTTTATTTAGCGTTTATTGTGTTCCGGGTACTGTTTTAAGCAGTGAAAAAATCTGGAATGAAAAAGCAACATAAAGGTTAACCAAAATCTTACAGTTGATACCATTTTCCCGAAATGTTACTGTCCTTGGTCCTGGCACTCCCAGTTTGGTTCATTCTGCTTCCCAGAGATGCTTGGAAATACATTTAGGGAGATGTAAAACCATCTTTTTCATGGTCTGTCTGTTTCCTGCAGAGATCAAAGGAAGTCATAAACACTGGGGCTATTCCTAATACGAAAATACAAGCCATCAACCGGGGACTTAAAAGAAAAAGAAAACTTGGTAAGCCCTTTCTTCATATGTGCTTGGAGACGTGGGATGGGATTTTAAATGGATTTTAGACAAGTTGCCAGAGTTGTAAATGGCTCATCCAAAGTGGAATTAAAGTGGGTAATTGTTGATGGTAAAACCGGAAGTAAATGTCTTAAAAGCATATCCTGTTTTTATCCTGCTTATTGTTGTGAGTTGGTTTTCCAGTGGAGCAGCTATTTTTTTTTTAACTTTATTTTTTATTTTTTAAAATTTACATCCAAGTTAGTTAGCATAGAGTGAAGCAAGGATTTCAGGAGTAGATTCCTTAATGCCCCTTACCCATTTAGCCCATCCCCCCTCCCACAACCCCTCCAGTAACCGTCAGTTTGTCCTCCAGATTTATGAGTCTCTTCCGTTTTATCCCCCTCCCTGTTTTTATATTCTTTTTGTTTCCCTTCCCTTATGTTCCTCTGTTTTGTCTCTTAAAGTCCTCATATGAGTGAGGTCATATGATGTTTGTGTTTCTCTGACTGACTAATTTCACTCAGCATAATACCCTCCAGTTCCATCCACGTAGTTGCAAATGGCAAGATTTCATCCTCTTTGATTGCCGAGTCATACTCCGTGGTATATATAGACCACATCTTCTTTATCCATTCATCCATCGATGGACATTTGGGCTCTTTCCGTACTTTGGCTATTGTGGATAGTGCTGCTATAAACATGGGGGTGCATGTGTCCCTTCGAAACAGCACACCCGTATCCCTTGGATAAATGCCTAGTAGTGCGATTGCTGGGTCGTAAGGCAGTTCTATTTTTAGTTTTTTGAGGAACCTCCATCCTGTTTTCCAGAGTGGCTGCACCAGCTTGCATTGCTACCAACAATGTAAAAGAGATCCTCTTTCTCCACATCCTTGCCAACATCTGTTGTTGCCTGAGTTGTTAATGTTAGCCATTCTGACAGGGGTAACCAGTGGAGCAACTATTGTGCAAAAAAGGATAATGGAGTATATTTCTTCTTATCTGTTGGCATATGTTTCTCTGTGTTATGTCATGTATTGTGAATATGATTTTCTGTGCTTTTAAAGAAAAATGCTTATTTTCTGAAATGACTCAACTATGAAATTGTCAGGATAGGTGAGTTAAACATAATATTCATCTTTTAGAAATCCATTTCTCACACTGAATTTTGAACACACTCTTCTAAAATAGGAACATCATTTTCCTTAAAATAGTCTCAGCATTGAAAGGTGACCTATTTCATTAATCTAGTGAGTATATATAATTAACCATTACTGAGAAGAATCTGAGGTAAAGTCTGATGCTTTAATTTTTTTGAATTTATTTATTTATTTTGAGACAGAGAGTGAGAGAGAGCGAGTGTGTGTGCTTGCGAGCAGGGGAGGGGCAGAGAGAGGGAGAGAGAGAATCCCAAGCAGACTCCACACTGTCAGCACAGAGCCCGACAGGCAGCTGAATCCCCCCAACTGTGAGATCATGACCTGAGCTGAAGTCAACAGTCAGACACTTGACAAACTGAGCACCCTAAGTCTGATGCTTTTTATTTCTGTGACTACCCAGGGCCAGATTCTCCAATTTGAAACCAGGCTAATGGTAACAGTGGATTCTTGTACACTGTTGTAAGGTAGCTTTAAGGACACACACGCATGAAATGTAGATATATAAATATTCGTGAAACATCTATATGAAATACATTGATATTCTTAGATGAATAACAGAGAGAATGCCTAAATGCTAACTCATGTTTCTGTTTTACCTTTAATAGTGACTGTTTTTATTAGGCTAAAAGCTCATTAATTTTAATTAAATTTTATTACAATAAAACTTGATTAATCTGTATTTTACTTAAGTAGATAAAATGTATAGTTTAGGGGTGCCTGGATGGCTCTGTCAGTTAAGGGTCCGACTCTGGATCTCAGCTCAGGTCTTGATCTCAGGGTTGTGAGTTCAAGCCCCACACTGAGCTCTATGCTGGGCATGAAGCCTACTTAAAAAAAAAAAAATGTATAGTTTAAACTTAAATTGCTGAAGGAGATTTGAATGCTTCAAATTAGGTGTCAAGTGTCTTATATTCAGCTTCTTTGACCCAACATAGTTTCTTCATCAGTAAAATGAGAATGGTAATACCATTTGTTCTATAAAATAGGAACTCAGAATTTAAATACGACTTTACCATTTTGTAAGAATGGTGTTCCGCAAGAAGAATGCGCACGTGTTCAGCTTTAAGAGCTTAAACTCCCTCAGTTTCAGAATGCATCAAAATTAGAGGCTTTCTCTCTCACTCATATACAACCCAAGACCCTTTCCAGAAATTGGGTTAGTCAACAGGGTGGGGAGTAGGAGTCCTGTGACATTCTGCGGGGAGAGGGGAGCCTGGAGTCCTAGTAAGAGACTTCATAAAATATGTGTAAAAGGTGCCGATAACATGTTTTCCATAGAGTTGGGATATTTGTCCAGCAGAGAGGAGTAAAACATTAGGGCCTTAACCGATTTTAATATTTTCTTTAACTGGTAGTTCTATTTAAACATGTAGCTGTGTCTGCTGTGGAGGCAGATTTCTTCACAATCTCCTAGGGTTGTTTTGAGCATTAAAGAAAATAATATATTTCAAATATTCAGCACATACCTGGTGCCAAGGCAGGGTTCAGGAAGTATTTGTTTCCTTGCTTCCATTTTCTCCCTGCGACCTATAACTGTCTCCAGAAAAGCAGAATGCCATCGAGCACTTTATTCTCTCAGAATGTTCTTAGTGCACTCTCTGCACTCCTAGGCCTTCGCATCTTGGCTTTTGTTCATTCATTCTCCAAACGCTCACCGTTCCCTTTCTTTGTGACCGGGACAGAGGCCTGGAGAAGCCAAGGCTGCATGGCGAACATTCTTTCCTTTCGGATTCTGCCGGGTATTGTCCAGTGCAGTACATTTTGGGGTTCAGTATATACTTTTAAAGCGTATTTCATTTTTTAATATGTTGACTACTCATTTCTCTGCCTTTTCCATGAGTATTTCAGAAAAATTGTAGATAACTTAAACTATTTAAAATCTGATGAATGATACAAACGGGGTTTAGCTTTAGCATTTAGTACGTATTTGCCAGATTGGAAACAAGAGAGAGTATTCCTGCTCAGGTATACAAAAAAATTCCAGCTGTAATGTGTAAAACCTAGTTGTAATTATGTGGTAGCCTGTAGTAAATAGGAGTGCACATGTCTGAAGCATGTTATTTGTTGTTTAGAGAGAGGCTGGGATTGGTATGTGTGTGAAGGTTTTCAACACATACTTTATCAACAAGCGGAAGCCTTAAAGACCCTTGGAGTGGGCCCAGAACTAAAGGTGAGTCCATTTGCGTCTAGAGGCTAGCTTGATGCTTCGTTTGAATACCAGTAGGATTTGGAGGGAAACTAAGGAGAAAAGTAGGGCTATCAGTAATGACACTAGGGCTACTGAAAGAATCATTTTTTCTGATGTTTTTTCCTTAATCTTTTTATTAGGCCAATAATTTCCAAAGTGTGCTCTACAGAATATAAATAAGCAATGCATCCAAAAGAAAATAAAAAAGGTTTGAGTCTTCAGAGGCACCTGGGTGGCTCAGTGAGTCGAGCGTCTGACTCTTGGTTTTGGCTCAGGTCATGATCTCGTGGTTTTGTGAGTTCAAGCTCCACGTCGGGCTCTGCACTGACGGTGCGGAGCTTGCTTGGGATTCTCTCTGTCCCTCTCTCTCTGCCCCTCCCCACTTGTACTGTCTCTGTCTCTCTCAAATAAATAAACTTAAAAGGAAAGGTTTTAGTCTTCAATATTAAATATTAATATATGTAAATATAAATATATTTAGTTTCAGCATTTAGGAAACATTGGGTTAAATAAAGTAAAACAAATAACTTTGCAGACTTTTTGGTGCCTTCTCTGTGTTAACGTGATTGTTTAATTTCCAAGGGGAAGTAGTCTGTGGCATTCACAATTTGAGAAAATCCTCTAGTGTGTGTATCTATCAGGACTTGAGTTTCAGAATGCACTCTGGGGAGTGATACATTAAAACAGTGCTTCTCAAACTTGAATGCGTACCAGAATCACCTGGAAGGCTGATTAAAACACAGATTGCCGAACCTCATTCTAGCGTTTCCAATTCAGTAGGTCTGGAGTAAGGCCCAAAATTTGCATTTCTTTTCTTTTCTTTTTTCTTTTTTCTTTTTAATGTTTATTTATTTATTTTGAGAGAGAGAGAGAGAATGAGTGCACACGAGTGGGGGAAGGGCAGAGAGGGGGAGAGAGAGAATCCCAAGTGCAGAACCCCACGAGGTGCCCCCAGAATTTGCATTTCTTACAAGTTCCCAGGTGACACTGATGGTCCGGGGACCACACTTGGACCTGCTGTTCCTCCAGAGTACCACAATCCCTACTGTTACGTGAATTTCACGTTTCTTCATCTGGTTGAAGCCATTTCAGGAATTCTTTTAAAAGCCAGTTATTTAGCAACAAGCAGTTATTATACACTTGCTTCGTGCCCGTTATTGGAAACCAGGTACTAAGAGATGCAGCCTAGTTGGAGAGAGCGTTTCACACATGTGGCATGAGTAAACGTGAAATGGTGGAGGGACGCCTGGGTGGCTCAGTCGATTGAGCATCCGACTCGCTTGATTTCAGCTTGGGTCATGATCTCACGGTTTGGTTTGTGAGATCAAGCCCCACCTTGGGCTCTGAGCCTGCTTGGGATTCCCTCTCTCCCTCTGTCTCTGCCCTTCCCCTGCTTGCACTCTCTTTCTCTCTCAAAATAAATAAACTTTAAAAAAATATATAGTTCATAAAAAAAATGAAACGATAGCTGTGCTCATAAATGACATTAAGGGCAAAAAGAGAAGGGAGAAAGATCAATGTGGACTGAAGTCACCAAGGAAAGATTTGTAGAGGAGCCTTTGCTGTTCAAACCAGTGTTTGAGGCAAGCCAAAAAGAATGCCCTCTAGATCAGTTTATAGCCGAAAAGGACCCTGGGCCTACCCTGAAAAGTATTATAGGAATTAAAAATCCAAAAACACGGGGGGCGCCTGGGTGGCGCAGTCGGTTAAGCGTCCGACTTCAGCCAGGTCACGATCTCGCGGTCCGTGAGTTCGAGCCCCGCGTCAGGCTCTGGGCTGATGGCTCAGAGCCTGGAGCCTGTTTCTGATTCTGTGTCTCCCTCTCTCTCTGCCCCTCCCCCATTCATGCTCTGTCTCTCTCTGTCCCAAAAATAAATAAATAAAGGTTGAAAAAAAAAAAAATTAAAAAAAAAAAAAATCCAAAAACACGAGAGACCAGATGGCATCCATGGTGGTCATTAAATTAGGGAAGATTGCTGGTAGTCTGGGGGTTTGGGAATCTGGTTTCTTTCAAGCCATCCTCTGTATAAATGCTTTCAATTTATAGTTCCATATAGTTATACCAAATAGATACAGTAGGGTTTACTCCTATATAGTTTTCTACCCACTTCATTGGGGTTAATCCTGAAAACAGTTTGTCTGAAATTAGCCAATGAGCATAACCCGTTAGACCTGACCATTTAAATGGCATAGGAACGGCATTACTCTAAGAACACAGGCTCTGGAATCAAAACTGACTCCAAATCCTATTCATGGTTTTTCCACTCAGTGCTTGGGTCATTTTGGCCAATTTACTCAGTTTCTGTAGCGGTAAAATGGAGATAATGGCTGTCTTGCAGTGTTGTATCAGAGCTAACGGATGCCTCATGCCTAGTAGGTGCTGAATAATAGAGAAGTTGTTTTGTTTTGTTTGTCCTGTTTTATTTTACTTCTGCCTGGACTCGATAGCAGCTCTGCTTCTAACCAGAAGTGTAGTCATGTAGAAGTTGCTTGCTTTCTCTCATTCTTTTTTTCTTTTATAATTTTTTTAATGTTTATTTATTTTTGAGAGAGAGTCCGAGTGCGAGCAGGGAGGGGCAGAGAGAGAGGGAGACACAGAATCGGAAGCAGGCTCCAGGCTCCGAGCTGTCAGCACAGAGCCCGACGCGGGGCTCGAACCCACAAACTGTGCGATCATGACCTGAGCCAAAGTCGGATGCTTAACCAACTTGGGCCTCCCAGGTGTCCCTCTCTGATTCTTAATTTACTTAACCTGCAAAAGGAAGGGGTCAACTAGGTGACCTTTACAGAATTAGTCTCTTCTTTCTCTAAGATCAAAGGTAATGAAGAATTTATTCAGTGTTTGCCGTATACCTGCCATATACTGATACACAGATTTTGTGATGATCATTCTTTTTCAAGAAAGTAGGTAAGGAAGGTAAGAACATGTTTGAATGGAGGGCGGTATGTGAAGTACATGTGGTAGAGATGTACCGGTGTGTTTGGCGTTACCTGAATTACCACTCACTTCCCTTTTACCTTAGAATGAAGTTTTACATAATTTTTGGAAGCGCTACCTTCAGAAGAGCAAGCAGGCCTATTGTAAAAACCCAGTTTGTAGAAGAAAAGTTACGGTAAGTCACAAGTCTGAAACGCAGGATTAAAAGTCATTTCTAGTATGAGGTAGAGATGAAAACAGGTTCAGCCTCATCTGGATTTGTGATGTTTGTCAGAGAATCGTCAGTGAAGATGTTTCTGTTATAGTCCAGAAGGACAAGGTCACTGATCTAGACATTGGAATTAATTTGGATTTCTTATCTGACTAGTTGAAACAAAGAAATTTGTAGTTAAGTTCTAAGTAGAAGTTTAAGCAATTTCTTTTAAGAAATTTGATTTGTATTTCCCTAATGATGAGCGATGTTGGGCATCTTTTCATGTGTCTGTTTGCCATCTGGATGTCTTCTTTGGAAAAATGTCTATTCATGTCTTCTGCCCATTTCTTCACGGGATTATTTGTTTTTTGGGTGTTGAGTTTGGTAAGTTCTTTATAGATTTTGGATACTAACCCTTTATCTGATATGTCACCTGCAAATATCTTCTCCCATTCTGTAAGTTCCTTATAGTTTTGTTGATTATTTCCTTTGCTTTGCAGAAGCTTTTTATCTTGATGAGGTCCGTCCTAATAGTTCATTTTTGCTTTTATTTCCCTTGCCTTAGGAGACATGAACAGACAATACTTTTTTTTTTAATGGTCATTTATTTTTGAGAGAGAGAGAGAGAGAGGGGAGTGGGCACGAGCAGGGGAGGGGCAGAGAGAGAGGAAGAGAGGGAATCCCAAACATGTTCCGCACTGTCAGAGCAGAGCCTGATGTGGGGCTCGAACTCATGAACCGTCAGATCATGACCTGAGCTGAGATCAAGAGTCAGATGCTTAACTAACTGAGCCACTCAGGTGCCCCCGGACAATACTTTTTAATGATAGAGTTATGAAACATTATCTTTTCTTCATTCAGGAGGCAGATACTTCTCAAGAAAAGCAAAAGATACTATGTGGTTCTACGGTGACACTTTGAAAGAGAAAAGAAAGAACCATCCAGACTATTAAGAACCTGATCTTTAGAATTACACAGCTAAAGTATTTGTTGGTTGGGGCGCCTGGGTGGCACAGTCGGTTAAGCGTCCGACTTCAGCCAGGTCACGATCTTGCGGTCCG